GTGAGAGAGAGAGAGAGAGNAGAGAGAGAGAGAGAGAGATGGGCCAGTTTTTAATATTTGGATTTTCTTCCATTGATTAGGTGGTCTGGATTACAAGCGCAAGTTGTGGTATCGGTGAGTAAAAGAGAAATTTGTTATCAGTTGTGTGAGTGTGCTGTTATGATATGGATTTTACCTTTAAATTTTTTGAGTCTCTGAAATTAAACCCCCAATCGACTATGCATAAAAATTTGCTATGTTTAATTCATACGATTTGACTGTAATTGTGTTGCTCAATATATATATGATTTTTATTTCTTACAAGAATTTATTCCTTTGTACAAATTTATGGATTACTTATTTTTATTTTTCATATGCTTTTTTTTTTTTATCAGAAACCTTGCGACCCACAAATATAAGACCCTTCTATAACTGAAAATGGCTTCATCCTGGAAATTATGGGCCTTTAGTACAATAGGGTAATGCTAAAATATGATTAGAATTTTGATTATAATGTTGAAGTGTTGGGATTGTATTGGTTTATACGATTATTATTAAGTGTTTTTTATTATAGAAATCAGGAACTTTGAGGTTATCAAACACAAAAAACTTCTCAATGAGGTTATTAAACACAAAAAACTTCTCAGGGAGGTTATTAAACACAAAAACCAATAGCTTCTTGACTTCTCAGGGAGCTTATCAAACATACAAACCAGAAACTTCTTAACTTTCATCTAAGAAACCATAACTTCCAATTTAAGAACTTCCAATTTACAGTTGATGAATGTGCTTCCAGTTATCAAATAGGCCTGCGGGCATTGAGAGAAGTGGGATAAACGATGGTTGAAAAACCAGTTGCATATCCATAGATAGACCTCAGAGACTTTGGCTTTTTGAGATTGATTCATAGCATTCAATTTGAAGGATTGTTTGTTAATTCCATGAATGAAGCCCCTGAGAAGAGTTCAGATCCAGGCCGCCCCCTTGCACCCAATATCAACAGCAGCAATGATGCTGGCGACTTAGAAGCAACAGCGCCCCCTCCTCCGGACGCTTTGGCTTATTTTTCTCGGGTTTTGAGGCGGCAGACTGCAACGAGTGTGGCAGAGGATCAGGAGCCATTCATGGGGGTGAAGGTGTGGAGGACTTCTCTCCACAGAGAGTACAAAGGGGACTATCTCAATGTCCCCTCAAATCCCTACGTAATGAAGATACTTGAGAAACAAGGTATCCTTAATTCCACTAATTTTTATATTGATCATTTGTATCTTATTGGATGTTATGGTAATTAATTTGTCTTTCTCTCATTTATGAATATGATGAGATTTGATCTAATTTTGGCTTTTGCTTCGACGTGTAAATTTGTAGGATTTTACCACTTAGTACCTACTCTTGGGATTTTGATGATTCCTTGTTTCTATTTTGATACATGTAACCAGATATATAACATTTCAGGGCTTTTGGTTTCATCTTTGGTTCACCTAGCTTGCATTTTTGTTCACATTGTGGTTTGCTTTGTTTGGTTTTGCAAGATCTAATGCGAGATGAGCAGATTTGATGAATTCCTAGATCTTACGGCTTTGGGTTTGATGAATTCTCAGAATTTATTGCCTTATGAAGCATGCTGATGCCAATTTGTTTCTTTTAAACGAAAATTTGGAGCTACCATTTCTCAAATTCTGATCATGGGATTTATCAGTTAGAGTTATGTGATTTATGAGTTAGAGATACATAGAAAGGCTTGTGAAAGTATGGGAAGGGAAAATGGAAACTCTGCTTGCCTTCATTTGCTGGAAGTGTTAGCAAAAATTCTTTATTTTTGATAGCCATTTTAGAATAAACTTGGATAAACTTGTACGGTTTCATATCCTAATCAAGTATACTGAGAAAATTGAAATGTGTTTGTTCCACATAAGTAAGCATGTGGAATAGTGATAACAACCTCTCTGGCCTTGCAATTTTAATGATGACTTAGCTATGTGATATTGAGATTCCATTTGACAGTTTTGACTTTTCTTCTATAAGTCAGGTTCTGGTTGTTGTGAATTAAGCTAGTTTTGGAATGATAACTTTTATGTGATGCCAACTGAGTTTTTCTTTTTTCTCAATTGATGAACTGCAAAGTAAGTTTCCATTTTTATGGAATCAATTCCAGTATGAGGGGTTTCTAGTTTCTACCTTGGCGACCCAAGGGAGGATTGAATTATTTTTACATGTTTTTCATGTCACTTGTTCTCTCATTACTATCACAATTGTCATCTTTATCTTGAGGGTTCTGTACCATTCCACATTATAACATGAATTGTGAGTGATTCAAGGAGTTTTTTTTAGATTGTTGAGTTGCTGCCTTGGCATCTCTCTGATGTCCTTTGTTCTTCCTCTTTGTTGTTTCCCTATTTTAGTAGATACCTTTGGCTAGCAAATAAAGAAAAAGAGAATTGTTTGTGATACTCGAGAACGGTTTAGAAAAAGAAAGAAGGGTGATCCATTTGCACTTTTGGCAAATTTTCAGGCAGAGTAGGAGAAGTGGTAGACAAATCTGGAATTGATCGAAAGCAAGAGAGTCACCCTACTTTGGGATATGCACCTTGAGATTTAAATATTGGTAGATACATATAAAGATTAGAGTTATTTTTGGATGTTCTTATCATAACAAGTGGATGCTTGGATCACAACCCCAAATTTAGGTGCTTCCATCAAAATTTCCAAATTTAAGCCAGTTTCAACTATTTTTTAGCAAATTGGGAAGTTTTGATATGTTGAATTTTTGAAGGAATATTGAATCTAGTGGCGACCTAGTAGGGTCAAGGATTATGTCTTTCTATAATATTGTAGGTTGGGGAACAAAATGAATCATGGGATTGTGCAGTTTGGCACGTGCCGGTGAGATACTCAGATGATCATCAGGTTATGTCTTACTTGGTCCAGAGACTGCACCATTTTTTTGGAGGATTTGTTACAATGAAACTAGACTTCACAACCTATGGCATGTTCTAGCTTCATTATTTCTTTTACTTGGATAGCCCAAGTGCAAAATTTTCTCATCTCCGTGGTTTCATTGTAGCTCATCTCCAAATTGGAGGCATTTGTTTTAGGGAATACTATGGAGCTTCTGACTTCCAAGAACCTTCTTGACGAGGCGTCATTTCATTGTGCATGGTGTTATTGGTGGTACACACCTGCTTGTGCATATCTCTGCTTCTCTTGCATTTTGGGGTTGCATGTACTGTACCTTTATGTTGTCCAAGTGTAGGCTCTACCCATTTACTGAGACTTAATTTTTTTTAGTGATCTACATATATCAGGTTTAGAACATCATATTTAATTCTGTAGAATTTTTCATCTCAAATGGTGCACTCTTCTATGTTCTTCTAGTGTTCGTAGATTTGACATTTTGAGCTAATTATTGAATAAGTATTCGATATTTTGAGTTACCGAGTAGACTCCAGGTCACATATATCTGAACTACATAAGTATGGAGTCCATGATTGTCCATGTATATATTGTAGGTTTTTGTTATCCTAGATTCCTTGCTATGTGTTCATGTATGTATTCTTTATGTCCTGACTCCCACATGTTTGTACGAGCGATGGGAGCTAGTTTTACATGCTTTGCTCCTCCCATGTTCCTTGTGAATTGTGACTTAGTCTGAGCACGAGGGAACATTGTTGTGCATGGCAGCCATACAAAGTTCTTAACCTAAATCCCAAGTCCAAATTCATCATGGGATGATGGGTGCAACCCACTCAGGCGACATGGGCAAGGATGCACATATGCAGATATGAGTACAGAGGGAGGCGTATAACTTGACATTTTTCATTGTCTGGGACAAGGATTTGAATAGGATTATCTTATCCACCACATTAATATTTTAATACATATGCATGATAGCTTCTTGAGCACATAAATTTCGATATAGGTTATATAGTGCATCTACCACAGCTCTTTATTATATTAATATTTTATTTGATTATATTCTATATATCATTGTATATGTCTATATAACGTATCTTATTCATATTATTATTATTATTTTGTTTTTTTGAATTGTTAATGGTGGGAAGGGAGCCTAGGATGTTATGTTGAGGCACCTGCACCCCCAGTCATCGATGCCTTGACCCCATTCCCAATGATATTCCTAGGATTTTATTTTTTACATAGTCCTTGATATTTATATCATTTTATATTCTCAAGTATCATGTGAGTATCTGGTTGGATTTTTAGCATACGCATCGTATATCTTAGCACATGAGCTTCCTTGAACATTTCATTTTATTGGGTGTGTGAGGCAGGTTGGAGAAAAAACATTTGAGTGTTTGCCCGCTCCTTTTGTATAAAATCTTCAAGTTTCCACTTTTATGTAATTATTTTGCTCTTTTAAGAAAAAGGATGGAGATCTCTGTGTGATTGGATTTTATTTGCATATTCTTTTTCATCATTAACTTACTTCCTTTGATCAAAGAAGGAGATTTAAATTTGTATTTTATTTAAAGAATTTGGTTCTTCCAAAAGATGGCTCTTAAGATCAAAATGTGTAACTACCAAAGTCGATTTGGAAACTTCTCTCTTGTCCAAATAATCAGCCTCCTCATTGGCTTCCATCCAAATATATCTGAATGAGGCCCTGAAATTGCTTGTAATTTTGTAAATTTCCTCGAAATATCTAAAGGTAGTCTGAACTTCTACTAACCCGATGTTTACATTCTCAGAGCAACTTTCTACTTTAATCAAGTCCCAATTCTGTTGAGTATCGAAGACCACACAGCAGGGATTTTCCTTCTTCCTCACTTGAATTAAAGATGGTTAATGGCCTCAAGACGGTTGTCAACATTTTTCCTCTATGATTGTCCACAATTCCTCTAACCCCCGCTGATCTCAGATTTTCCAATGAATTCTCTCATCAAGATATAATCTAATCCATCCCTCCCTTGTAGGAATACATGTAGCTTGTCTTGAGGGATGAGGCAAGTAGACACGTGCATTGGCCTACCACTGATTTTAAAATAATGCAATAGTACGTATGTCCCCAAAATTGCTCGTGCAACCTTGTCCAAGATATATTTGTATCTTATCTATTAGCCAATGTATTGAGTGTTGTTGTGAGTTCAAGACTCTACCGCTACTTTCCACCCATATGGCCCATAGAATGGCAAGTAGGGTAAGTCTCCAATAAATCAATCCCTCTTTGGTAAAAGTGGAGTCTACCAATGTGAAAATAAATGTTTAATACTTCAGGTATGACCCAGTGGATGTCAAATAGATTTAAAACATGAGAGTCCAGATTGTGGAGGCAATATTAAGATGTAAGAGCAAGTGCTATACCAACTTAAAGTAACTTTTACATGAAATGGATGTGTCGGGAGAATCATATCTTCTTCCTTAAATGATTTGATGGCCAGTGGCTTATTTAGTGGTAGCCTTCCAAAAACCTAGGCTTTGATTGGGGCTGGGATATTTGAAACCTTCTAAGCAGTAATGTCTTGAGAGTTATACCTTGCCAGTACTTAGTACTCTATAAAATGATTTTTCCTGTGGTTTCAGATGTCCATAGCAGTTGTTTCTCTCTCATGGTTTATAGAAGAACGACTGAAGCTTGCTAAGGAGCTTGGTGAGGCTTTCAATTTCTTTGTCCTGTAGTGGCCTTCTTAACCTTATATTCTACATAGGCTGATTTCCAGACCTCTCTGCAATTTGGGTGACTCTTACCTCTGGATCTGTAGTCAGTCCAATAGGTAAGCTTTGCCAGTCTAGCATGTCTCAACTGTTTGCCATTTGGGCGACTCTTTCGAGAATTTTATTTTGTCCCTCTTCCAAACCTGCATTCTCATGTTCATGATAAAGATAATTCTCACTTGATTAACTCCCCTCTAGGCTCCTGATACAGCATTGGTGTGTCTAGCATGTCTCACCAGTCTCCAAAATCGTCTACCCTGCACTAGCTTGCCATCACATACTTCCGCAGGTGTTAGCCTAGCTCACTAAACTTCCAGCACCATTTACCTTTTAGGCTTGATTTTGTCTCTCTCGAGTGCCCGTGCCCAGGCCATCTTTAGGTTTTGGCTTGCAAACATGATTCCAATTCATAAAATGAGACTTATTTTGTCAGATGAACCGTACTTTAGGAAATTCCCTATAAGTTTCTCCAAATGGCTAACAATTGAGCTAGGCATAGGACATTATCAATAAATAAATAAAAAATGATCTAGGCATGGGAAAGAGGTACATAAGAGCTATGGGTAGATTTGCTATAGCTGATTTGATCAAATTTATATTTCTGCCAATGGACAGAAAATGAGATTTCCAAGAATCTGGTGCCCTATCAAACCTTTTTACAACTCTATCCCAAGTAGTTTTATAAGGCTTAGAGAACACCGGGATAGTCCGAGGTATTAGCTTGGAAGACTATCCACTCCACAACCAACCTTAGCTAAAAGTAACAATTCCTCATCATGGACCAGTCACTCCCATAGTTTTAGTCTTTCGAATGCTGACTAGCATGCCATATACAACTTCAAAGCACTGAGCCAAAGGTTGGTGATCTTCACATGAGTCAGACTGCAAAAAATCAAAGTATCTTCTGAGTATTGCAAATAACTTATAGTCATTAGGTGATGTTTGAGGGCCAGTTAGAAGACCTGCTTGAAACACACCATGAAGAATCTTCCCAAAAGCATCTGCAATAATTATGAATAATGAGGGGGCCAAAGGATCCTCATTGCTTTAACCTCTCAAGCTAGAGAAGTACACCATTGGAAGCCACTATGCAACGACCTTATATCCACCTCCATTGCTGACCAAAACCCATAAGCCCATAACGTGGTCCAATAACTCCTAGTCTACATGTTTGTTGGCCTTTCTAAGGTCCAACTTGCAAATAACTCCAGGGAGTTTTTGTGTGTCTTGAATGGACGCATACATTAGCAACAAGGGCTCCATGGAGTATTTGTCTGCCCATCTAATTGATGTTGTGAGATAAATTGAGTGCATTTTTTAATCATTGATACGTGTGTCTGTATGGATGTAGTTTATATAAGGTGCCAACCTTAAAAAATTAAAGTAAGGCCCACCTGTATCAAAAGATGCAATTCCGGTGGTCGAAAGTCCTAATATATTTTCACCACTAATTAGGAAATTCAAAGATCTAAAGATGGTGCAAATTGAGCAGAAATATAAATACTTGGAAATTTTGAAAATGGATGGTATAGATAATGTGCTAGATGATGTGTTACTTTTAGGACTTGAAATCCCTTTTTTCTTTTTTTCATATTCATACCTCTTGAGGTTGAGATAATCAATCAGATGATTTTTCATCATCTAACAACCTTTCTGGATGGGTTTTGAGGGGTGCCTAGTTCCTTTGAAATGAATTATTAAATATTTTGATTTCTTACATCAGTAAATAAGTTATGAAATGGCATGAAAAGTTCGGGTTTCTTACATCCTCTTTAAATGAACACTTGTTTTGATGTTTTATGAAGAATAGCATGCTTATTTGTATAATTGGTTCATTTTATGAAATTACTTTGATGGTTGTCCATATTGGATGCCCTCTTGTAATGTTTCTTTATTCTTTGTTTTTCTTCCCCTGCTTATGTGTTCTACTCATTATTTTTTTTTCTATTAGTTGTTTCCTGTTGGGGTTTAACTTTAAGAACAAACCCTTCTTTGCTTATTAAAAAGTTCAATTGAAGCATATGTTTTCTGGAAAATCATACTAGAATGAGGTTTTTATGTTCAGCATGCTTTAAAAATGTGTGGAAGTTTTTTTTGAAAATGTGTGAAAGTGGAAAACAGTTATTTCATTTCCTCAAAATACTTAATTCTATTCTATAGTAATTTCAGAGTATGACGATGTGTTAGATTTTATTCACAAACTACTACTACTTGACACTATTAATTTCAAAAGTATTTAAATTCAAAACTACCCTTATTCAATTGGCCTTATTTAAAACTACCCTTTTCATTCAAGTTTAACAAAATTTTTAACAGGTGACAGACAAGGGCTTTTTGCTGACAACATCTTGAAGTTCACAGGATCAGGAAAAATTAAGCGCCGGATTTTATTGATTACGGATCTTGCTATCTATATTTTGGACCTAGATGCTTCTCTCCTTAAAAGACGAGTGGTACTTACAGTGATTGAGACATTATGCTTGAGTGATCTTAGTGACAATTTTCTGGCGAGTATAATTCCTAGCGAGTAGGACTGTCTTTTGGCTAGCACACGTAAAACAGAGATTGTCACAGTGCTTGTAGAAGCTACGAAGAACAACTCTGACTATGGAATTGAAGTTGTCTTCTCCAACAGGTAAAAGTCATGGCTCAACCCTAATTTTCATCATTGTAGACCACTTTGCCAAAATTTGCAAAAATGTTTCTGCTTTTGAATGGAGTATGCAGCTGAACCACAGAATATTACTAACTACAAGAATCTGATTAGGTGGATACTTCTTTTGATGGTTCAATGATGCTCTAAAGGGGTAAAAATTGCTTACTTCACAAAAAAAAATGGTAAGCATTCTTAGATATGTTACAGCTAGATTCTTTTTCTTTTTCCTATGAAATAAGAAAGCAATGGTCCGCTTGAAGTTTTCAAAATTTTGTCCATCATATACTTTGAATGCTCTATTAGTATATGTGACAAGGGTAGAGTAACTCGATTCTTCTGTTGACAACTACATCCCACATTTGAATTCCATGCTGCCCCACTGAAAAAGGAAAAAAAAGGGGCAAAATTGGGTGGGCATCTCACAGCCGTGACACGAATTTTTTTTATTAATTATAACTTCAAGTGCATTTTATATTAGAACTGTTGTCCAGGTGAATCAACGACTGTTTTGTTAACGGTAAAAATTTATTTGAAATGAAAGAGTATTGACTAATGTTTCAATCTGCAGAGTAGGTTGGTTATTCCCTACAAATCAAGGATATTATTCATCTTTCATAAGAACTAATTTATCCCAGTCTATTACCTGAAAAAGGCTAATCACGCTTCCATTAAATTAAGAAGTTTGGTCATACAGGTTTGAATACTAAGGAAATAGAGCTGATCAGGGCCTATCATGCAGGTTTAAATACTATGCTGCAGCCGATAACATCAAAGAAGTTCAATTCGAGGAAGTTGATGGTTTGTGATGCTTTTCAATTTGATAGCCAAGTTCCATTTGCTGTTTCTAGACATTGTAGATGCCGATTTTCGTTTTCTTCATTTGGTTAGCACGTTTGTGGGTTCTCTAACCGTAATACTTCTGAATGAATGCAGGAGGCGTTAGGACACGGATTGTGAAGAAGTCTGCGATTTAGCAACAAAAGCAGCGGCCCTTCTCTATGCCATGAATTAGGTTTTTCTGGTTGTTTGGCAGTCTGTAAATTATTATCAATATTCCATGTAGCATAACCTTAACCTTGGTTTCTTATCTGATAAGGTCACTTGCTTTTGTAATCCATTTATCCAAATCCATATTATTTATCAGGATAAAAAGATTAAATGTTTTGTGAAAACAAAGTAGATGATACCCTTTCTATATCCTATAAAAGCAAAACATAGCTTCTATTATCATTCCTCTTGATAAAGAATGATAACTTTGCAAGTGTTGATAAGAAATCCATAAAAGCATTGGTTTTGAGTGGGAAACCTTAAATGGTACAAGTGAACTTTTGACCATTTGATCTTGATCTCATGGTTTAGAGTATTTTATTTTTATTCTTCGTCTAGCAACTATATCGACGTCATATTTTAGGCATGCCATCCACTCAAAAGGGTATATCAAAATAAAAATATAAAAAAAATATTTGTGATAAAATAAAATGACCAAATCACCTTTGAAAAAGTTTTAAGGGTAATTTGGTTATTCTATTTTGTCAGAAAAATAGTAATGAACCTCAAATTTGAGTATA